TTACGGAAGCAGATTGCCACATCTTTCTCCCACGGAGCAGGTGCTGACTGCACTACCACAGCTCCTAGTTCTTGACTGTCAAATTTCAAAAAATTCATTAGTTCTAAGAAGTATAAGCATATAAGGGAAAAATGTTCTATTCTCCAACTTGGAATTAAGAGAATCTGCGCCTGAGCTGACTCGGGGCAGAATGAGCAGTGACACTCTGTCCTGCTGCAGAGTCTTCGCCTGCCACCTCCCAGGTCATCCCCTATACTTGGTGTGGTTTTCCTCATCTCCTTCTCCAACCTATAAACCCCACACTCAGGGCCCTGTGGTACTTGAAACCTGCCTACTGAGTGCATCCTGCATCATTTTATTTTCTCAATATAATACGTTTCTCTTTTATACTACCTCTGACAATGAGAGGGGGTATATTCATTTATTTCAGTAGAATCTTACCCTTCTAAAGAAATAATGGTTTTTTAACTTTCTATTGATTGTCGTATTTAAGTATAATATTTGACAATATTAACGAATTATAAAAATACAGAACAAAGCCTGTCAACTGTTTTTTGAGGCAGTGGTTAGTTTCACTTGTGTTGCTATATTAAGAACATTGTAGATTACCAGAAATTCTAAGAAAATCCTGCTATTTGTTTCTGTTCCTTGTAATTCAGGGCTTATGAAGCCCTGGAATATTATTATTATAATTTTTAGTCAGTGTAGTCCTTCGACCTGTGCACTAGTCTGTATTTTCAGTGCACAATTGGATATTGCCAAAAATGCCTGTGTGGATACATTGCAGCAGTTTGTTACTATATTTAGGGAAAAATCTAAGAAATATGAAACCACTTTGTTTATTTGGTGTTTCTTAGGGGTTTTCAGAAGCTGAAACTCACTTTTAGTTGCAATAATACGGATATTTCAGGCCTGGTTTTGATTTTTTTATTTTTATTGTGCTTTAAGTGAAAGTTTACAATTCAAGTGAGTCTCTCATACAAAAATTTATACACACATTGTTATGTGACCCTAATTGCTCTCCCTATACTGTGACAGCACACTCTTCCTTTCCACCCCAGATTTCCTGCGTCCATTCAACCAGCTCCTGACCCTCTCCACCTGCTCATCTGGCCTCCAGACAGAAGCTGCCCATTTAGTTTCATGTGAGCTAAGAAGCACACTCTTCACGAGTATCACTTTATGTCCCATAGTCCAGTCTAATCTTTGTCTGAAGAGTTGGCCTCGGGAATGGTTTTAGTTTTGGGCTAACAGAGAGCCCAGGGGCTATGTCTTCCAGGGTCCCTCCAGTCTTAATTGAACCATTAAGTCTGGTCTTTTTACTAGAATTTGAGTTCTGCACCCCACCCTTCCCGTGCTCCGTCAGAGACTCTCTGTTGTGTTCCCTCTCAGGGCAGTCATTGGTGGTAGCTGGGCACCATCCAGTTCTTCTGGTCTCAGGCTGATGGAGTCTCTGGTTTATGTGGACTTTTTGTTTCTTGGGCTCATAGTTTCCTTGTGACTTCGGTGTTCTTCATTCTCCTTTACTCCAGGTGGATTGGGACCAACTGATGCATCTTAGATGGCCGCTAGCTAGCTTTTAAGACCCCAGACGCCACTCACCAAAGTGAGATCTGGTTTTGATTTTGGAGGCCCTTTTAACTCACTTTTTTTCTATTTCTTTTTCTTAAAGAGTCACCTTCCAGCAGATATTTAATGAGTGCCTTGGGTATTCCAATGACCAGAATTTTCACACAACAGAGAGAGAGAACTGACCCTCTCTTCATTGTTGCTCACTCCCGCCTTAGGAGCTCTTTGCAGTCTTTTTTTTTTTTCTCATAACTTTATAGGACTGCATATAAACAGAAAGATATTTTAAAGAAAAGTAGGTAAAAAACCAGGTTAAATGTAGTAGAGATGGCTAAGGAAGTAAAAACCTTGTGGTTTGTCCCAGAGTGGTAAGAAGGATGTTATTAACCAGCAGCAATATGACGTTAATCTTTCTTGCAGAATGAGCAGTACTGTAGTGAATGCTCTAATCAGAGAGGGCCTACAGAGTGTCACAGAAGCATAGAGGAAGGGACATTTGAAAGAGAAGTAGGGGCTAACTAGGCATTCCAGGCAGAGGAAACAGCCTGTGCACAGGTATGGAGACTTGAGTGGGAATCACTTCTGGAATGGCTTTCAGTGGTTTGGAGATGCAACATAGGGTGTGTGTCTGAGGTTGGAGAAGAGGCTGAGTGGGTGGGCAGAACGTAGTTCTTCAGGTGTCTTATGTGCCATGCTGAAAACTCCATTTTTATCTTGAAGTTAGTATAAAATCATTGGGCAGTTTTAAATAGGGGGATAGCAATGACTGGATTTGCTTCTTAGGAAGATTATCCTACAGGAATGTGGAAGATGGACTGGAAAGGGCAAACTGCAAGTGAAATAGGTCAGTTTGGGTCTTCTGCTGATGAGAAATGGTGGGACCCAGAGCTCTGGCAGTAGAATGATGCGGAGCTTACAGATCTGTAAACTGTTAGACAGGACTTAGAAAACGGTTGGATGTAAGGGAATTGGAAAAGAGGACATCGGGGGTGACTTCTGGATTTCTGACTTGCATGACTTGGTGAATGGAAGTGCTACTAACTGTGAAATAGAATCTGGAAAAAGGATTGAGAGGAAGTTGTTTGAACATGATAAAGCATTTAAGTGGATATGTCCAATAGGCAGGTAGTTATGAAGTTTAGAGAGCAGTTTCAATTGGAGGTAGAGATTTGGAAATCACTGGCATTGCACGTGGTAAAGTTATGGATGAGAATGAGACCTCCTGGGCAGAACTTAGATTGAGAGGGGAATAAGGCTGAGAAAGAACCAGTGGTAGAAGGTAAGGCAAGAAAGACGAGGACCCAGCAGGCAAATGAAGAGGGGAATTCTAGAAGAAGAGAGTGTCCAGGATTAATGTCTCTGATTGTCAGATGCAACAAGTTTCATAGGGACTGAATATTGCCCGTTATGATGTCGTTGGTAGCCTGAACAAGAGCAGTCTCAGTGGGCTGGAGGGGATGAGGTTCATGTGGCCATAGGTCGGAGACGAATGGGTGTGGGTGGCCATGCATTCTCTCTACTCACCCCAGAAGCTCTTCTGTACAGGGAGGCTAGTTGGAGGGCCATAGCAAGATCTAGGGAAAGTTTTTGATGGGAGAGACTTGAGACTGGGGAGGTAGTAGATAGAGTCTAGAAATAAAATAATCTATAAAGCAAGGTCCTTGAGAAGGAAGAAGGGTTGACACCTAGTAACAGAGCTGTCTCATTTCACTTTCAGTAGCTTGCGACGGTCTTGGGAACCCCTGAGATTCATTGCCGTTGTATGACTTACTGGATTTTTTAAGTAGTCATTAGTGTACATAAAACTAGTTCCCTGAAGTACGAGCGTGACGTAACTGTTCCTTTTTTTTCACCAAGCATGCTGTAAAGTACATTTATGAAGCACATTGAATTTACCCCGCTCTCTGCGTCCATCTTTCCCCAAATGTTCAGACAAGTGCAGGTAGTGAACTACATACCATGTGCAAGCTCTGTCCATCGCTGCTGTTTTCGCCGCTCCTCCTGTGGTGCTCCCTCTGCCTCAGGTGGCCGGCTTCTTCCACAGGCCCCGCCCAGTTTCTCCATACTTCATCTCAGAATAACCCAAACCCACTGCCATCGAGTGGATTCTAACTCATGGTGACTCTATGGGACGGAGTAGAACTGCCCCATCGGAGCAGCCAGTGGATCTGCGGCTCCTCCATCTCAGAATAGACAGGTCTGACGAAATTCAGTGTAGTTTAACGAATGTATACATGTTAAAAGGGATCAAGAAATGGACCTATGATTGAGGAATTGGACATGTCAGAATGCCTGTGGAGAGGGAGATTTTGGAGTACGGTACCTTCCTAATATCCACATTCTGTTTATGTTTGAAGTATGACCAGCCTAGCTTCACATTCCCATAGTCAAAAATAAAATTAATATTTTGCTTCATAGAATAACTAATTACTATAACAGTCACATCTTGAACCAGTTATGAAGATGAGGTGTAAATATTGTAATTCACAGAAGTCTCATTAAAATAGTATTCTGTTTCTGTACTCAAGGTGGACTAGTTTTGAGTTCTGTGATTAGCTGAACTTTCCTTCCCAGTCATGTTTCTCTGCTCTTGCTCAGAGCCTCTTCCGTCTAGAAACTCTTCACAGACTTGTGGTATTTTGTAGACCCCGATCATTTTCTAGGTCTCTTTTAGGGTTGTTGTTACGTTGTTGTGAGGTGCCGTCGAGTCGGTTCTGACTCATAGCGACACTATCTACAACAGAAAGAATTTACCCTACTCTTTATAGTACACCTTGCTAAAGGTGGCGTAGTGGTTAAGAGTTCAGCTGTTGACCAAAAGATTGGCAGTTCGAATCCACTCGCTGCTCCTTGGAAACCCTATGGGGCAGTTCTACTCTGTCCTGTAAGGGTCGCTGTGCGTCGGAATCGACTTGATGGCAGCGGGTTTGGTTTTTTGTGGTTGTTTTCGTGGGTTGATGACAGAGTAACTATTTGGACGGCATCTTTCCTGTTTGAGTTGATGTCACTTCTTGGAATGAGACTGTGTCGTTCTGAGCACTGAAGTAGCCCATAAAGGGATCATCAGCTTTGCAGTTAGATCCACTCTTTCTTTCTCAACTTCAAATTTATACAAACCAAAAGTCTCATAACAGACTTTAGACTCTTAAGAAGTCACAGGAACTGTGATTCTGTTAATTCAGTGAAAAGTACTTAGGAAATAATTATCAAAATAATTCAGTGAGGGAAGGTTTAAAGATATTATTGCACATTCCTGTGAGGGAACACTATGCAATTGTTAAATAATGTTTTAGAGAAATAATGATGGAGGAAATGCTTATTTTGTAAAAATTCTGTATCTGAAGTTCTGTTTAAAAATGAATTTACCAAAAAAAAAAAAAAACCTGAAAGGAAGTACATAGTGAGAAGCATCACCTTCTTTTCTGTTTCAGCTAACCTTCCGGTGCCGACCATCGCAGCTATAGATGGACTGGCGTTAGGGGGTGGTCTGGAACTGGCTCTAGCGTGCGACGTAAGAGTGGCAGGTGAGAAGTAACCCTGTAAACACCAGGGTTTTTAAAGATAAGGCTTGTGTTGACTTCATATAATTCCAAATATTTTGTTCTGTTTCCTTTTGTTGAGCAGAACGTTTAGGAAAAAAAAAAAAAACCTTTTGGGCTTGATGTGGTGTATCTGAAATTCCCAGTAAAAGCAATCCTTGCAGTCTGTGTGCAGTCTTAGCGGTAGGAAAGGACAGGATTTGTCAGGAGAGAGAAACTGTTCGACTCTTAGGCCCTGCCCATTTTAGGTCCATTTCCTCCTCTCTGAAGTGGGGAGAATGACAGTTACTGCTGTGAAGAGTAAATGAATTAATCTGTGGCGTGTGCCTAGCACACGCCCTTAATTCCTGTTAGCTACAGTAATAATCGATTAGTCTCTTTGAGGTTCACTTTCTCTTGCATGGTTTTTTGAGGCTCGTATGAGGTGATTATGAAAATGATCATGAAAACAATTAGTGCTACGCAAGAGTGTTGTTGACTGGATGCCCCGCACTGTTCTGAGGACCTGAGGGGCATTAGCTCAGTCTCCCTGGTAGCCTGCGAGGTGGGAACTTCGTGTGCAGAGAGGGGTTAAGTAACATACCCAGGGTAAGTGGCTGAGCCTGGCCTGTAACCCAGGCATTCTGCCATCCCAGCCCTCGCTCCTGCTATCTTGCCAGGGCGCTGCAGACGGAGCTGCTGTTTTTACTGTCAACACTATGCTGTGTAATCTCAGCTCTGTCATTAGGTGGGACCTAAAGACAGGGTCTGGGGCCGAGAACTGGACAGAGCAGACAGCAGATGTTTGTTACTCTTCCTTCCCCTGCTCTCACTATTTCTTCTGATGGGGCTGCCTCTTGAAAGCCGAGTCAGCATAATTACATGTTTTCAATAATTTTATGGTGACGGTTTCTTGAGGTTTGTAGTTGTAATCCACGTATATACTTTTACCCCTTTCTCCTTTATTTTAGGTTCCTATTGTCTGAAATCAGTGGGTTTTAAATTGAAAATGTCAAGTACATGTATCCATTTCTAAAAGAATGCAGATTCTGGGATTTAGGCTATGGGAAGTAGTTCAGATGAATTTGGATATGCAGATAAAGAAACAATTAAGATGTTTTATAGCCCCCGTGAAAACAAACATGGGGAGAGGAAACCTGTCCAGCTGTCAGAACAGTAAAAACGTCTGTCCAACAGTAACTCGAGCTCTGGTCTTGAGAAGTTGCCGTGTGTGATATGCTAGATTAAGCTGTTTGATCTAGGGACTCTTCTGGCGGTAGAAGAAGCCGTGCTTATCAGAAACAGCCTCTCTGCTGACCCTGCATCATTAGTGGGCTCGGAGCCATGAAACACAGCTTGGCAGTAGCAGGTCTAATAATGTAGTTACAGCCCTGGTCTTTCTGTCGTAAAAGCTCTGTCGCTGCCAAGCAGTTTTTAACAGAAGGCGGTGTGTGAGGCTCTTACTGTGTTAGTCAGACTACGTATTTGCATAACTAAAGGCCTTTTGAAGTGATTTAAAAAGAAATTTATGACACAGGTGTAATCAGTAGATAATATTTCGAATACATTTTATTGTCCTTACTTTTCCCAAGTCATTGTATTTGATTTTGATGATACGGATGCTGATTAATTTTCTTTCTCTTTAGCTTCCTGTGCAAAAATGGGCCTGGTGGAAACAAAGCTGGCAATTATTCCTGGTGCAGGTATGAATTGTTCACACCTGTCTCGCAATTAGAGGGAACCCTGGTGGCGTGATGGGTAAGCACTCAGCCACGAACCGGAAGGTTGGCAGTTCAAATCCACCCCTCAGCTCCGTGGGAGAAAGACCTGGCCGTCCGCTCCCGTAAAGGTTACAACCTAAAAAACCCCATGAGGCAGTTCTTCTCTGTCACACGGGATCATTATGAGTTGAAATCGACTCAGTGGCACCTAACAACAACAATACCATCTCTCAATTCGTTCTCAAAAGCAGGGTATAAGGCTAAAGGGTGTTAATTGAAACGGCTGTTATCAAAACACCACATTTTGGATAAAGAGACTAAGGCTGTATTATTTGTTCCCTAGCAGAGTCCTTACGTATTCACGTATGTTCTTTTTTAGCTCAGGAAGGTGGTAAAGACAGCAGGTACTCTGCTTGTGGCTCTTTCTCTTGTCTCCCTGTGCTTTTCTGTGTTCTTTCTTAAGTTTTAATTATTATACAATTCACATTGTTATCACTGGATCTGTTTCCTTAAAGCCTCAGAAAGATATTTTGATCCTTTGTGTGTGTATGTATGTAAGTGCGTTTGCCCTCATCGAGAGCTCTGTGCACACGGTCAGGGAGGAGTGTGGAAGGGACAGAGGTTCCAAGCCTGATGCGCCTTTCCTATTTCTCTGCCGCAGGACAAAGTTCATGGTAGTGAGCAGCCTGAATTTGGAGTGGAAGAGGTGGTGTTTCTTATGTGACTCCAAAAAAGATACGTGAGCTTCTTCTGTTGGAAGAGTCATTCAAGAAAGCACTTTTCTCAACACTTATAATGAAATTTTTCTCACCCAGCAAATCTAAATCTTTCATAATTTTGTTTGATTCAGAGGATTTGGAGATATTCTTTTTTGAAGTCATTCTTTTAACAGGTAGACTTCATTTAAGAATGTGCATAATTAAAGACAATGTAGAATATTCCAGATAAGCTTGTATATGAATAGGATAGAATCGTGTGGTTAACGTTGTCGTTATAGGGTATTTATCCTCATTAGGGTATTGTTGTTAGGTGCCATCAAGTTGATTCAGACTCATGGTGACACCATGTGACAGAGTAGAACTGCCCCATAGGGTTTTCTTGGCTGTAATGTTTACAGAAATAGATCACCAGGTCTTCTTCACTCAGAGCCACTGGGTGGGTTTGGACTGCTTGGTATCTCCTTGTTAGGGTATCTAGGTGGAAATTGACATATAAGTTATAATGAAATTGAAGATTACTCAGATCAGTGTGTAGGACTCAGTAATCCATGAAAATGCTATTTTGGTAGGCCGAAGGCATTTAATACCTATCTGTTCTATCATGCCTCTCGTTTTCATAGTGACTAATAGAAGCATTTGTAAGAAATGGATCCAACTGAAAAGAATTCAGAGATAATTAATGTGAAACAAAACAAAATTTAGACAAAGGATGACATGACGTGTTTCTGAGATTCTTATAAGAAGTTAAGCAATTATTGGTACTTAGGATATAATTTTTATGTAGCTGGAATAAACTAGTCCTAAAAAGAGAGTGGACTTTGATGATGTTTAAGTAATTTTTGAACAAGGGATTAGTAGGTGACAGAAGTTGGGGCTGGGAGGAGGATCAACTTGGGAATGTGGATATTTAGCATGTCTTGAATATGGAATGTTGTAAGTATTAAAACCACTGGAAGGTAGAACAGTTGTATGAGAGTACTGTTGGGTTTGATTAGATGATTTTAATGTAGAAATGTGAGTGATAGCTGCAGCTCCTTCCAATTTTCTTATTTGTTATGTGATGTCTAGAAATTAGAATTTTCTTCCAAATATATTTAAATTCTTTATGGTTGTCCTCAATAGTGGACTCATTAATTAGATCCCACTTATTATAAATTTGATCGAATTTTGACTGTGTATTCTCATGAATGCAATTGTTTTCTCTAATTTTATTAACTAAGCACTTCAATATGTTATCTATTTATAGAAGAATGGTTTTCTGCCTTTTTATTTTATTTTTCTCAAATGAGTCCAAAGAAATATATTTTAGTTACTCCTTTAATTTCATAGCTTATAGCTTATGTATCTGTGTGGCATCAGACTTTTTAATTGAAAATGAATTTGATCCATATGAGGCCACATATTCACATTTAGATTAAAAGAAATGTACACAGAATTTTTCACTTCTATATTAGCATTATGGTTATTAAAGTATTTTAAGTGAAGCCTGATTTGTTTTTTTAAACAGTAGAACAGTTCGTTTTAAATAAGGCTTTTAAAATTTTTTTTATTGTACATTAGGTGAAAGTTTACAGAGCAAATGAGTTTCCGATGATAGTTTGTACATAAAGTGTTCCATGACTTTGGTTTTAGCTCCCCGCAGTGTGTCAGCACTCTCCCCATTTCTATCTTAGGTTCCCCATTTCCTTTCATCCTGATTTTCTACCACTTCTTGCCTTCTCATCTTTGCTTTTGGGCAAATGTTGCCCTTTTGATCTCGTATAATTGATTGTTCTAAGAAGCACATTCCTCTCAGGTGTTATTGGTTATTTTATGGACCAGTCTGTGGTTTAGCTGAAAGGTGGTCTCCATGAATGGCTTCAGTTCCAATTCAGAAGGGTGTCTTAGGGCCTTAGTCTCGTAGGTTCCTCTAGTCTCTGTTAGACAGTTAAGTCTGGTCTTTTTTGTGAGTTTGATATTTTGTTCTACAATTTTTCACCCGCTCTTTTCCGGGACCCTCTGTTGTCATCCTAGTTAGAACAGTCGGTAGTGGTAGCCAGGCACCATCTCATTCTTCTGGTCTCGGGTCATGTACGCTGTGGTTCATGAGGTCATTAGTCCTTTGGACTAACTGCTTCCTTGATTCTTTGGTTTTTTTTCACTCTCCTTTGCTCCACACAGTAAAAGGCCAATAGTTGTATCTTGGATGGCCCCTCGCAAGCTTTTAAGACCCCAGATGCTATTCACCAAAGTAGGATGCAGAACTTTGTCTTTATGAATTATATTCTGCCAATTGACATAGGTGTCCCCTGAGTCTATGGTCCTTTGCTTTGGAGCCTAGGAAGTTGGTCCCATGAGGTGTTTGGTTCTGTCTAAGAAGTTGCCCTGACTGTGGCCCTTGTGTGCTCTAATGTCTGTATTAATATTAGGCAGCACCTACAGTTATCTATGTGGAAATATCTACCACCAAACCTATATCTGCAGGCAGGTGTGTTCCCTTACACCCTTCCACACCTCTTGGTATATTATCCGTACGTAAATTGATGTTTGTTAATACCATTGTTGCAGGATTGTCTATGATACAGTAATTACCATTGTTGCCCTTCGTTCTTGGCATTCCTCTCAGGGTCTTCCCATGCCTTGACTGTGTTGTGCTGACTTCTCCCATATTGTGTATTGCCTTTCCCTTCACCACTATTATCACATGTCTTCTGTCTATTTGATAATTTTCCCTCCCATCCCTGATAACCATCAAAGAATTCTATTTCTCTGTGTGTAAACCGTTTCTTGTTTTTTTATAATAGTGGTCGCATACAGTGTTAGTCCTTTTGTGATTGACTTATTCCACTCAGCATAATGTCCTCAAAATTCATCCCTGTTGTGAGGTGTTTTGCAGATTTGTCGTTACTCTTTATCATTGCCTAGTATTCCATTGTGTGTGTATACCACAGTTTGTTTATCCATTCACCCTTTGATGGGCACTTGGGTTGTTTCTATCTTTTTGGTATTGTGATTAATGCTGCAGTGAACATGGGTGTGCATATGTGTATTCATGTCACTGCTCTTACTGCTTTAGGGTGTATCCCTAGGAGTGGGATTGCTGGATCATGTGGTATTTTATTTCTAGCTTTTTGAGGAGGTGCCATACTGTTTTCCATAGTGGTTGTACCATTTTACATTCCCATAACCTCATTCCAATCTCCCCACAAACTCTCCAGCATTTGTTATTTTCTTTTATTTTTTGATTAGTGCCAGTAATGTTAGAGTGAGATCATATCTCATTGTAGTTTTGATTTGCATCTAATAGTGGCTCAGTGATTAAGAGCTCGGCAGCTAACCAAAAAGTTGGCAGTTCAACTCCAACAGCTGCTCCTTGGAAACCCTGTGGGGCAGTTTTCCTCTGTCCTATGGGTCGCTATGAGTCAGAATTGACTCGATGGCAACAAGTTTTTTGGGTTCAGCGGCTTATGATCGCGATCATTTCTTCATATGTTTGTTAGCCGTCGGAATGTCTTCTTTGGTGAAGTGTCTGTTCATAGCCTTTCTCCGTTTTTTAATTGTATTGTCTGTCTTTTTGTTGTTGCGGTGTTGAAGATTTCTATAAATTTTTGAAATTAGACCCTTTGTTAGCTACGTTGTCACCAAAACTTTTTTCCTAGTTTGTAGGTTCTCGTTTTACTCTTTTGGAGAAGTCTTTCGATAAGCATAAATGTTTAATTTTTTTTTTTGAGGCCTCATTTATCTAATTCATCTTCTGTTTGTGCATTTTTAGTTATGTTTGGTATTCGATTTATGCCATATATTAGGGCCCCTAGCATTGTCCCTACTTTTTCTTCTATGATCTTTATAATTTTAGGTTCTGTATTTAGGTCTTTGATCCATTCTGAGTTAGTTTTTGTGTGTGGTGGGAGGTCTGGCTCCTGTTTCAATTTTGTACAAATGGACATTCAGCTCTTAACCACTGCGCCACCAAGGTTCCTTACTGTCAGCAGCCTCAGCTTTTCACCTGTTTTAACCAAGAGCTGCTGTGGACAGCCAGAAGATAGATAAAAATACTTGGAGGAAAATCCAAATATGGGGAGAATATTGTAGAAAAAAGTAAATGCTTTCTCTACCTCTCTCTGTTTTGTTTTTAATATTATAAAGTAAATATTTAGGGTAGAATGTTCCAGTCTACAAAGTATGTGTGTTATAAGTCTGACAAATTCACATTTATAAGAATTAAGACAAGTTAAAAGAAGTAGGATTCATTGTATTCGGCAGTTTAGGAAATTGCTTTGACTT